GCAGGATGTAAGTATACCTGTGCTAATTTAGCATAAGTCTCACCTGAGGTTCACTGAATTTATAAAGCAGTGCTGTTACATTTCCAAAGTTACATAAAACACTGAGGTACTCAATAGCCTCTCCTAGGAGTTGAGGTATAAGAGTGCCAGTTGGGGGTGCTAACAGGATCCTTCCATGGTTAACAAGTTTAGAGAAGGTATTTAGAAAAGAAATGTCATGTCATGCACCAACCTTTAAAAGGGCAAAGAGGGAAGTGGTGAAACCAGGAAATGAGAACAAAGTTTTCAAGCAGGAATAGAACTCTACTGAGTCTTATTGCTGGTTTACTTTGAAGGCAATTGCACAAAACTAGTTTCTGAAAGAAAAGGCAGAGTTGGAAGAGAAATTTTTGTTGGCACATCATGAGAGAGAAGATGTGAGATGCTTTAGAAGTAAGAAAAATGGTATTTGTTTGCAAATAGACAAAAGCATGAGGAATAAGAAAAAGAGTATTTTATCGGTGGTCGTTTGCGTGAGGCAACAATGTGGGAAGCATGAAATGAGAGAAATAAATTAAGTAGAAAACAAGATCATTTTGGTTCTTTTTACTATAGGTGCTAACGAAAACCTTAACTATATATGAGATCAGAAATAGGAAAGGAGTCTTGCTCCTATTTGTGTCCTTAAATCTTGCCTTTCCCCTTCAGGTAGTTACATAGAGGCGGCTCTCTGTTCTCCTGTGCAGTAGGAGTAGGTGGATTACGGAATATGCTGGTATTCAGGTCTCAGATGAAAGACATTACAGCATGCAGTACAAAAACTATGAGGGAGAGGAAAGTTGTATGAACTTGGATGTTTCATAACCTTCCAGAATGTCTATATTTTAGTTGTATACTCTTAAACATGGAATTTATTTGGAATTCAATTTGCAGACACCAGAGACCCTGCCTGGACATACCAAAGCAAAACACCATTACAGAGAAGATGCAGAATGGCTTAAAGGTCAACAAATTGGTCTTGGGGCATTCTCTTCCTGTTACCAAGCTCAAGATGTAGGAACGGGGACATTAATGGCTGTAAAACAGGTAAACACTTCAAATACTTCTTCAGTTTCTTTAATATATTGTGCTTGTTCTTCAGTATTTCTTTGGAATGTTAAAAACAAAAGCTCTCTGCTTTCACAGACTTCTTGTGTTCCTTGCTTCCTCTGCTCCCTTTCATGTGTTCTCACGTAACACAATAAAAATCTTTATGTCCTTGGAATTAGCCTACTATTTTCTTTTTTCCACTTCTTAAAATAAAAAATGTACTGTGCTTCTTTTATATGCCCATTTTCTTTCATAGCTCTTCAAATCATTTTTACTTTTACCAAGTTCATAAATCAGTGACAAAGTCAGGAATGGAACCTAGATCTCTTGATTCCAAGTTTGCAAGGTAGCTGTTAAAAGTAGTTTCCCCTATATTTTTTTCCCTAGAAGTTTAAACGGAGGAAATGTAGTTTGATTATTGTTTCTTCTACTCCAACAGCCAACTTTGAGGCAACGATTTTTAGTATTTAAATTAATAGATACTAAGGTGCGACTAAGAGAGACCCAAATGCACGTGCTTCACTCAAGATTTTTTGAAGGTTCTAGATATGAATAAATCTTTCATACTTCAGGTGCCCTAGGTCTGAATCTGTGATACCAACATAGGGGGAATCTTATTCCTAACAGTGTTTTATTCTAGAATGAATTTATACCTTGGAATTGAGCAATTTCAAAACATTTGGTTATCTGTCATGAGCTATTCCTCCTCCACCCTTGCTTGTGAAAGAGTTGGACTGTCCCTGTTCTTCCTAGAGAGGTGATGATGATTCTGAGGCCCAGGGGAATTTCTCTGCCACATACCATTATTTCAGATTTACTATGGGTCAGAGATCCATTGCAGGACTTCTGACCTCCTTTCTGACCTGTCCCTTCCCCACTCCTCGTCGAATTTCTGGGATGTTTAGTTATGAAACAGATGGTGTGGTTAAACTGGTAAAAATCTTACATATAACGCTGTTATAATCCCATATCAGGCCTTATATTTCTTCCTTTTCTTCAACATCTGAGGAAAAACACTTCCTAGTTTAGGCAGAGGAGGGTGAAGAGCAAAGTTTCCCCACTGCATACTAGAGGAGAGCTTTGTTGATATTTCACCAGATCACCCTTAATTTTCTATGAGTGTCTCATGTGGAGATTCATTCTAAGCACAGGGGCTTGAGATGAAAGAATACTTGCTATTTCCAGATGGTGAGAAGGGATGGAAACCCATCCATGCTTATTACTGCACTGAAGGGGCGTGGGGGGTGTTAGAGGACTGGTAGTTACAGAAGGTAAGCCTGAATACTATATCTCAAAACAGGTGACCTATGTCAGGAACACGTCTTCTGAGCAAGAAGAGGTAGTTGAAGCACTGAGAGAAGAAATAAGGATGATGAGTCACCTGAACCATCCCAACATTATTCGAATGTTGGGTGCCACATGTGAGAAGAGCAACTATAACCTCTTCATTGAATGGATGGCAGGTAAACAACTACTGTGCCAAAGAAAATGAAAATGTCAGTGGAGTCTGAAACTGTGTAGTTTTGTACTGCGTGCTGCGCTTCAGTTTGCAAATTCGTATCTCCATTGCTGTTGGTAACCAGTATAAAAGTTTACTTACAGAACAGTTTTAAGTGGTCACAGCAATATTCTTACTGGTGCATCCTTTCTTTGACATGTAATTTTTCGTACTTTATCTGTCATACTGCTAAAGTAGATGGAAGCCCTGAGCAAGAATTCTACAATTTTTCCTCAGTTTCTGAATTGAATCAAAGAGAGACTTTGAGAGACAGACACTTCACTTAGAAATACATCAAACCTGCATTTTCAGTGTATCTGTGCAACTTTAAGTTACTACTGAAATAAATTTGCTGCAAAGTTTGGAATACCTGTTACTTGTTTTTGTCCCAAGCATTCTCATAAAAACTGTGTGAGGTGACATGCCAAGGAATTTACGAACTTAAAGTAAATTTCTAATAATAGGTAGTAAGTAGGATGCTTTGGGAAAAATACATTAAAGATTTGAATGTGTTAAGTAGTAATTTAGTAATAAATAGCTAAATCTTTTGTTGTATAGAGCAAGGACAAGAAAGCCTATGTCCTTTTTTTCAAGAAGGAGCTTTATTGATTTTATGAACGGGATTATTTGTTGTTGCCGTCCTGTTACAAAGACTAAATTTGGTGGTTTACATCCTTATTTCTTACAAAAGAAAGCATTGCACATTAACTGGTGTTCTATGTCTGAATCCACTTAGCAATACCAGAGTGCTAACAAGCAAAGCCCAAGTATGTGTTATTACAAGCAGTAGTGCAGAAAATATTATGAATAAATATAAAAAGATATTTAAAAGTATAAATCTTCATGCGTCCTAATAATTTTGTCTTTAATGTGTGCAGTTCCAGGTAGAAAGTAATTAAGTAACCAAGTACATTAGTTGTTGCCTATGAAACTTTTTTGTGGGGTGTGTTTTTTTGGGTTTTTTTGTTTGGTTTTTTTTTTTTTTTTTTTGCTGGGGGGGGAATCTAGTGAAAAACTGGGAATATCAGCACCCAGTTCCCATTTTAGGAGGCAGTGCTGCATTCTACTAATACAATATATGTGGTGATAAGATGTATTTTTCTATCTTCTAGGTGGTTCAGTTGCTCATCTGTTAAGTAAATACGGAGCGTTCAAAGAATCGGTTATTATTAATTACACAGAACAACTGTTACGTGGCCTTTCTTACCTCCATGAGAATCAGATAATCCACAGAGATGTTAAAGGTGAGAATTACTTACGGTGTCTTTTACAAAGCAGTATTGAGAAGGCAGCATCTATTTTGGCTTGAGACCTATTGCTTCTCTCAGATACTATCTCAAGAGTGGTATTTCTGTTGGGTTTGTCTGATCATTCCAAAGAACCGTTAATGACTGAAATTAATCAGAATGTTCATAGCGTGCTTGAGGGTTTTTGCTACCCGTGCCAATAGTTTAGAAAAACCTGTTTTCTCGGTTTGTTTAGATAAAATATGAAGTTGCCCTATAGCTTTAAAGATTGATAGTTAAATTAATATAAATGTTTGCACTGGTATGACGGGAAAATGTGCGAAGGAGGCAAGATAAAGAGGTCAGGTTTCTAATGTACAAGAATGTTGTGATGAGTTTCTTCCTTCATCCTAACTGAACATAAATACAGTTGTACTGTGTTTGAGCAAAATGTGGACTTGATTGGGAAATACCAGTCTTAATAAACTTCTCCCTTTGATGTCACTGTAGCTGTCCATGAACTGGAGAGATACCCAGATAAGGAGAAACATAGCAATGGCAAATATTTGTCTTTAATATTTTTTCTTAAAATAGGAACATTTTCACTTGCTCTATAATGCTCTCCAAGACAACTCAAAGTTGCTGAAGGGTGAAATAAGTTTAAATTTCACAGGGAGCTGCAGGCAGTGAAAACCTCCAGGGTTTTAGGTCACTGTTTTCTTTCATTATTCCATCTCCAGGCATTGTTCCAGAATCCTGTGTTTGCCCTACTTTGAAAGTTTGATTGCTTCTCTAAATCTCTCGGACAGCCTCAAGCTGTGTGCAGTATCATTCAGGCATAATAGAAAAGCGGCATTATTAGACTTTGTCCTTGATTTTTAGGTTTCCTTGATATTGGGGGTGGGAAACGTCAACCTATTTATAGTTTTGAAATGGGGGGAGGAAGACTGTCTGTTCATCCTTTTGCCTTCAATAGAAAGCCAACTAGCAGTAATTTTATTATGCTGTTGACAGGTGCCAATTTGCTAATTGACAGCACAGGTCATAGATTAAGAATTGCTGATTTTGGAGCTGCAGCCAGGTTGGCATCAAAAGGAACAGGTGCTGGGGAGTTTCAGGGACAGTTGTTGGGAACTATTGCGTTTATGGCACCGGAGGTAAGAAACCAGTTTTGGAAGTTACTTCAAAAAGTTTGTTTGAACTCTTTAAGTTAATTCATAGAGCCAAATAACATAAAACTGCTGTGAATGCTTCAAATATGTTTTAAATGTACTTGTTCTAAAGAAGGGGAATGATTCCAGCATGGCGATAGTGACATGTCTTTCTCGCGGTCGAAGCTGGTTACAAGATACAGCTAGCATACGTATTGTTACTGAAGACCAAATGACCATTTAGTTAAAAGCTAATTGTTGCAAGGTACTTCGCTTTGTCCCTCGATCAGGCATTTCATTTAGTAGCTCTCTACGGCTGTATAAATCTTACATCATTTACGTCACTCTCTCAACCTCAAATGTTGATCAGAATGCACTTGGTTGATTTTTTTTTTATTTCTTTTAAATGTAAATTACTTAGAGTTAAGGGGCTTTGAAGCAGATAAACTGAGCTTTAATCTGTTTGTCCAGGTTCTGAGAGGTCAGCAATACGGTAGGAGCTGCGATGTGTGGAGCGTTGGCTGTGTTGTTATAGAAATGGCTTGTGCTAAACCTCCCTGGAATGCAGAGAAACACTCCAATCATCTTGCTCTGATATTTAAGGTGAGGTATTTTGTTGCTACCAACATACTACAAAAGACGCTGGCTAATCTCGTGTACAGCATGGCGAATTTCAGAAAAGTATTCAGGTAAGTAGGGCTTGCTGCAATAGTTCTTGATATTGGAGCTGTTTGTACAAAATCAATACTGATACCACCATGATCATACTTGCTTGGACCAAAAAAAGACTTCAATACAATAATATCAGAAGAAGCTCTGTTCTAAGACATAAATACATAGTGTAACAGGCTAAAAAAAATTATGAATAGAGTTGATCCTGACTCTAAGTAGAAGATTGGGATTTGAACTCCTTCTTACAGTCCTGTAAAATAGAGGAGCAAAAGAAGTTGTTCTATCATAAAACGTTTATGTGTTTGTGTATATTTCATAGTGGGGAATGTCCTTTACTAAAAACCTCATGTTCCATGTTCAGATTTTATTGAAAGATATTTACCATTATGCCATGCTATATATAAATATTGCACCTCCCTTCTCTAGGTCATCCACATGTGGTGGGATGGCTCCTATGACTGGAGCATTGGAATGGAAGGATACTGGCACTTTAGGAAGGACAGGAAGGGAAGTCTCAGGGGGGGTGCCACCCTCTATGTCAGAGGCCAGCTGGAGTGTGTGGAACTCCCACCTGGGGATTCATGAGGAGCTGACTGGGACCTGGGTCAGGATTAGACGGAGGGCAGGAAGAGGGGATATGGTAGTAGGATTTTGCTACATGCCACCTGGACAGGATGAGCAAGTGGATGAGGCCCTCTATAGGCAGATAGCAGCAGCCTCATGGTCACCAACTCTGGTCCTCATGGGGCACTTCAACAACCCCAATACCTGTTGGAGGGAGAACATGGCAGGGCAGAACGAAGTCAGGTTCCTGGAACGTGTTGATGACAACTTCCTTCTCCAAGTGACAGAGGAGCCGACAAGGAGGGGTGCCATGCTGGACCTTGTTCTCACCCGGCAGGGAAGGGCTGGTTGGGAATGTGAAGCTCAAGGGCAGCCTTGGCTGCGGTGACCATGAAACGGCGAAGTTTGAGATCCTCATGGAGGTGAGGAGGGTGCACAGCAAGCTCGCTACCCTGGACTTCAGGAGAGCAGACTTTGGCCTCTTGAGGGATATGATTGGTAGAGCACCACGGAATGAACGTCTGGAGGGAAGAGGGGCCCAAGAAAGCTGGTTAATATTCAAGGGTCACCTCCTCCAAGCTCAGGAGCAATGCATCCCAGCAAAATTCCAGGAGGTCTGTATGGATGAAGAAGGAAACAAACTCAAACACACCAAGGAAGCCTACAGAGGGTGGAAGCAAGAGAAGGCAGCCTGGGAGGAATACAGAAAAGTTGTCTGAGCAGCCAGGGATCAGGTTAGGAAAGTTAAAGCCCTGATAGAATTAAATCTGGCCAGGGACATCGAGGGCAACAAGAAAAGCTTCTGTAGGTATGTCAGTGGTAAAAGGAATGTGTGTCAGTGGTAAAAGGAATGTGTGGGGCCTTCAAGACACACTGCTTAAGTCTCAGAAGGCAAAGGCAGGGACTGGGAGAAAGAAGAACTTCCTGCTGTAGGAGGGAACTAGGTTTGAGACTATCTAAACAACATGAAGGTGCGCAGATCCATGGGACCTGATCAATTGGTGGATTAAGTTGCTAAGCCACTACCCATCATATCTGAGAAGTCATGACAGTCCAGGGAAGTTCCCACTCACTGGAAAAGGGGAAACCACACCCATTTTTATAAAGGGAAAACTATAGGCCAGTCAGTCTCACCTCTGTGCTCAGAAAGATCATGGAGGAGATCCCCCTGGAAATGATGTTAAGGCACATGGAAAACGAATTGGTAATTGGTTACAGCCAACATGGCTTCACTAGGTACAAATCATGCCTGGTGGCCCTCTATGACAGAGTTACAGCATTGGTGGGTA